AAGTATTTGATGGATTATTTGAATTTGTTTAGTTTATAACAGTCTCTGATGTATTTGTAAAGAAATAAACATTGAACAAACAAATTAATATGGAATTTATAACTTTCTTAAAAGGGTTATTATTTTAATTTAATAAATCCATTAAAGTCTAAAGTGAATTATAAAAGATAATTATGTATAAATAATGCTGTTAGTAACTTCACATTCTGTTCAGTGAAACTGTCACGTAAACTCTTCACTACTTAGGTCATATTTAATCTCTTTTTAAACAATATAGTGAGATATGATCTTGATTTCATAACACACTGAGTACTCTCAATTGAACTTGTCAACTAAACTCAAGTTAAGTCCCACTACGCCACAATTTACTGTGAGCAAATATGAGGATCTTATCTTAATGAAATAATAGTAATCACTAGAAAGCCTATTTATAAGTTAGGTTTCGTGCCCGATGACTATCATCAAAAATGGATATCCTCATTACTTAAGGCAGCCTATGTTTCTTATGGGACCTGAAGTCATGCGATTCAGTGACATAGTCAGAAATGTTGCCTGTGAGCTCACCAATGTAATGTTGTAGGACTTTGTTTTTCACAATGATTGATCAATTACTTTAGTAGTGAGAATTCGCTTTTAATTATCTTGGCTTTACTAATTAAAAAGTGTTACTCAACTCCATGTTCTTCCATAGTTAACAGCGATATTATTTTCATTTTAACTCTAATAAATTTCTCCTAATAGAAATCCTGTTTTGCACAATTTTATTAATAACGGATTACGTAATTTTACTGATTGAACATTTATGATTATGGTCTGAAAGTTAAGTGTTCTCCCCAAGACTTGAATGTTCTGGGTTTGATCTTCAGTGTGGTCATGAATGCGTACATCTGAAAAGTACCATTTTCGTATGAAATAGCTGCTCTATACTTCCTGATTTTTAGTAATTGTTTATCTCCAGTCAATTCACGATGTAAAACTGTAGTGAACAGAACACGGGTGAGGACAATCGGATATATTTAACACAAAATTACTGGACTTGTTAATAAAATCTAACAATCATAAAGTAAATGCTTGATTTGCAAAATGTCCACCAATTGTCTCAAAATGACTCAGACTTCATTGTCCTTTCATTTTCATACAAATTGCATTTTATTTCCATTCTTTACTGTTCGATCCTATTGTCTCAGCTACCAGATCTTTCTGTTCACGACTAACATCATATACTGCTTATGTCAATATAAGTAGCACACACCACAAAACTGTCAATATATGACCCTATTTAGATAACAAATTGATTTTATCGTCATAAATTACAGACTTGCATTAAGAGTTCATTGATACATACTCCATTATGCTTAATATTTTTTAAAAACTCTTTTTTTTCATTTCCTCCATAGATATTGAATTTGAAAATGTTCCATCTGAGTGTAAACAACCACCTGATGCAGGTTCATGTCAAATAAAAAATCCATCACAAAATTTTTTCTATGATCTAGAAAATAATGATTGTACATCATTTTATTTTCATGAATGTGGTGGAAATGATAATCGATTTGTTACAAAATCTGAATGTATGAGTCATTGTTCACCTTGAATAAAATCAATTTTTTCAATATCATTTTTTTAGTTTTACATTATCTTCTTTTCTTCAACATTACCATAATCATTCTTATTAACTATGAAAGTAAAAAAGGAACATAACATAATCACATTTTTCACCTTATCATAGTAGTTGTCAACAGAAATGGTATCAGTTTCACTTTTGATTATTATTATTATTATTATTATTATTATTATTATTATTATTAATGCTATTATCCAAAGAAACCTCATTTTCATGAATAGCCATACTAGTAATATATATATATATATATATATATATATATATATATATATATATATACTAGTAATTATATATATTTTTTGAGAATAAACAAACAAATAGCATTAACATAATTTCTAATAAATGGATAGTGATAACATTTTCTGATTGTTCTTCTTCTCTGTCGTCGTCGTCGTCTTCGTCGTCTTCAATAAACTGCTTAAATTGGTTGATTTTAATTCATTGTAATAATTACTTAACTGAATCAAATGATTATCATAGTGATGATTGTTTTGTTTTTTCTTATGCTTACATAAACATTATTAATACTATACATATATATATGTATTCATACTTTTCAATCCTTTTTCTCTATCCAATTAAAATATTAAGGAGAATTAAAAAGTGAATTTTTTGGGAGAAAAAACGATTTTAAAACGTTTTATTTTTTGCAAGTTTGTTACAAACTATATTCATTATTGACTTCATATATGAATTGATATAGATAAACAAACTATTGTAGTCCATAGAGTACTAAATGTATATATCATCACTGTTTGAAACATCTTAATAGTATTCATTCAAAAGCCCAAATGGGATAAATCAGAACATTCTCCAAAGTTTTTAGTAAGCAAGATAACCTTGAAAAATTATGACAGAATATAATGGTCTATACTTCATAAGATATTTGAGTAAATAATAGTCCTATGTTAGTCAGTAAATAGATTTAAGATAGGTTTACTGAATTTTTTAGCAGTGAACTATGACAAAGTCAACCAAATCAATAGTGAGATATTAATTTATTAACAACACTGATTGATTGAATTTGTAAACAGTGACTGGTGAACTCCTGTTTATTGATTTGTAACTAAAGCCCTTAGCCATGAATTCTGAATGTTATGGTTTTAATCCTAATGGCCATTGTCAACCCATATTCCTGACGAGTTTTCGTCTAAGTGATAACAACTACAGATCCATCATTTTTTATTGTTCTCTAAATGGTCTTATTTTTCAAGACAAATATTCTTTAACTTACACAAATTGTTCCACTAAGTAACTAACAAAATGAAAAGCTTTTTGACATAATAAATATTCATTTAATGCGTAAAATAACTTTAAAAATACTCTATATAACTTTGAATGATCATTCTTATGTTTCTCGCTTATCACTGGATGCATATACCAGTAATTTAAGTCTTACTTCGAGCTAATTTGAAGGCATGTTTAGCCAGATCAACATTTTGTGCGTTCAATCATGATTTCAACTATTGAAATTTCTAAAAATCTCCACAAAACCCCTCCTAATAATAATCGTCTGCTCACTAGTGACTGACTTCAAGAGGCATTTCCTGGAGTTCTAGTAAGAAGCCGTTACCAGTGGAGTTCAGACAGGTCTGTTGTGAGATATCAACTCACTGAAGACAATGGTGTACGGTGGTGCAATTTCATGGATTGGTTGAAGTTAGACATTAACACCTTTGGATGGCAGTCAGCTCAGTAGTCTGATGGTTAAGACTGATAGGTCATGGGTTCGAATCTCGCTGGGGGCGGGGTCATGGATACAATGATTTTGTCAAGTTTCCACTTCCTAAACCTTCAAAAGATATTAGCAAACTGTACTATGTTGTTTAGTATTTGAATTTCAATATTCGATCCTGCCTTATGTTAGGAGTTACTTTACAGCTAAACAACAAACAAGCTGACCAATCACAATAATATTTTTCAAATGAAATTAAAAGTTCTGATAATTAAACTATTATTGGCACTATTCAATATATTTTCATCAACAAACCTAGAAATTTTATTATGAATTTCTTAAGGTCATATGCAAAAATGATAAAAGGGCAAAGCCATTTCGTTGTTTATGTTAATGTTTTCTAAATATTATAATCATGATACAAGTATTTGAATTAATGTACAATTACTTATATCAGAGTAAACAAGGATAAACATCTTAACATGTTTTAAGTTATACATAAAAGAACAGAGATAATTATCCGAATTGTGTTAAACACGTGACCCGTAATATTAATTACTTAAACATGAAATAACCTTTATACAAAATATCTAGAAAACATCATATCCTACACCTATACCAGCTTCTCAGCTCATAGATCAAAATGCTCTTAAAATTGGTCAGTATAACACAGTCAACTAACAAAGTAATTGATAAAAGTTAACAAACATTTTGAAGATTTGGTTGATCATATCTCATGTAACCCATGAAGAATGTTCATTACGTACAAAACTCTTATGATTTATTAGCGAAATGGCTTTAATAGTTATTATTATTATGGTTAAGATCTCTATACATTACTGTTTACAGAAAGTGATAAACACTTATCTAAGATCTATTAGCTTTATTGAAAATGTATAATTTCAAACTAATTATCTAAATATTGCTTCTCATGATAATATATTTTCTTACTACTAATAATGAAATATTTAGTAGTCATATATAAATGATAAACTTTATGAAAAGATCTGTATAAAGTTTTATAAAAAATCTTATTTCTGTTCAAATGAAATACATTAACCTATTTAAAGGTAAATGATCATAGTCTATAATTTGTAAACCTTTTATTTTGAACGACATGATATTTAAAATATGACACTAATGAATTTCTATATTACAAATGTTTAGTTGTTAGCTATAAGACAAAACCTATTTCACCTAACATACATTTTCTTCTAGAAACTTCCTACTTATAGCATTTTATAGTAAATTCTATTCATAAGCAATCACTTTAATGAATAGTATGAGGAGTGAATGTAAATACAATTTTATCTAAATAACAAATCATATGTAGTACAGATATCATCATAACAAATAACAGTGTAATAGAGAGACTTAATATTCTAATAAGGTCAAACAATAAGACGATAATTTGACTACGTCAAAGGAAATGTTACACCATGTTAATAGGGTATGAAAATTATTCGAATAACATTTATACGTATACGAAATCTGTATTTAAAATTAGCACAATACAAAATTTGTTATACCTTATTGTATTAAAACAAGAGTGAAATGTGATAGAGTACTATCTACAACTCATTATATAGTAAACATGTGAAAATAAGAGGATATACTTGATAAAAGTGAATAATGGTTTTTTCAGTCGCACAAAATTCACAGATGGATAAATATAATTCAATATTAAATATTATGTTTTTTTTAAGGTAACAATTCTAACGATCCACCTAAATGAGCATGACAGTATTTTGGATTATCTCTTGATTTGGAGATAAAATAACGTGATGCTGAACAAGATTGACGAGTTCTATTACTAGATCTTGTACGCTCGTTAATTTTATATCGACAACACGGTCTTCCATTATGTTCAGATGTGCTAAAATCACTGTTGGCATTAACCTGACAAAGTGGGCATTCTTGACCGTATGGATCAATATGTGTATGAACTACCCGATGCTCTAGTTGTGTTGGAACTGAACAATCTCTTCTACGATTATTTGGTTTCGGAATTTCTGAATTAGTGATACGTTTTTGTTGATATTGTGAATGGTTATTATAGTAGTAATCCATTGCTTCAATACCAAGCTTCATTTGGATTACCTTTGATCGATGCTTTTCACATAGATTAGAATGGACTGGATAATATTTTAAATTGCATTGTGAACACACAGCATTCATAGATGGTTCTGATGTAGATGGATAATTTAATCGTTGTAACAGGTCAATATGTGATCTAGTTGCTCTCTCTGATAATAAAGGAGATTCTTTACACTTTAGATTATGCTGACAACATTCGCAATGTTTCTGTTCTGTAACATTTAAATAGTTCGCTTGAGAATTCTCGTACTTATTTGTATTTAATCTATCATTCAGCTTTTTTGATTGATAATGAATTGCCCCACTCTTAATCGGTTTTAAAGCATCACATTTACACAATGTTCTTGGTAAAATGTTTGTCTCTGGAGATGATTTTCGCAATTCCGAAAAGCAACGTAAAACATTTAAACCGATTTGTATGTTTTCCGCTAGAAATACATAACAAGTTAAACAATTCTCACCGTTCGCTGATAAACGCGGGACCATAAAATAAATCAATGGCGGACGTAATACTGTGCGATAACGTAATAACCAACTTGTTATTTGATTATCTAACTTGATCAATGCATCCTCAGGGATACAACGACGTGTATCGATTATTCGACGAAAATAAGCGTAACAATGATCACGATTTTTATTATTGTTACCAATGTGAGCGCTATTATGACTAAGATTACTCCCAACAGGTGTTACGACTTCAAAGTAATAACAGTTAAAATAGATCAATTGATACGCCGAAAAATCTTCATCCATTTGTGATGATAACGACGATGAATTTTTCGATTTGTCATCCTTTTTTTTATTTCCTTTGTAATCTAATGATTTGATAAGAATATGACCATTTCCAATGGCTAATATTACACTGTCATAATTTTCTGTCATTACTGTTTTATAAGATAAAACAGGTTTGTGATTATTTGGTGATACAAATGATGTAGTCAGTTTTGAGGACGATATTTGTCGAAGAAATTTCAAATAATAATCAATCAATAATTCATAAATTGTTTCCAGTTCACAATCATTAGATTTTTGAATAGTAGAATGTCCAAGATAACTTAAGGTAAATACTGACATTGATGAAGATGTCATTGTAATATTGATTTTTAATAATTCTGTGATAAATTTAGAAAACTCAAAATCTAAAAGTGAATTAGTGTTTATAATTCTTTGACCAGCTTTAGCCCTTTATTTACTTATTAGATGTGACATTTGTAAGAGATTTAGCTTATTTGCATAATCATATTGGTCGACTAAACATTTTATATACACAATTAACACATAACATTTCGCATTAACAATTATAGTAATCACAATATAGATGATGTTAAAATATTTAGAACGTCATTGGTGAATAGTTGTTATGTTATTCAGATGAGATAGATCATGAGGTAATGCTATGGGTGTAATCTTTATAAAGTCATTTTACGACGAACCAAATAGGAGGAAAGCATAACTAATTCTAATAATTGAAGGGTTTTCATAAGTTCAAATCATACTACCTAGGGTGCTGGCTCAATTCTAATTCTAATACTGTAGAATAAAAAGAAATATGAAGATATTAAATATACAATCTTAATATGAAACTCTAAATAACTCTCATGAATAATTTAACTGTATATGGTTTATAATCACATCGTAGATAAGTTTATATGTGATAAATTGACAATAGTTTCAAACCAAATTATTGCGTACCTCTGACAACTGTGCTACAGTGTTGAGACCACTAATTTTGTTTGCTTGTGCCAAGGTCCTTTTCTACGGGTCATACACCTCCATTTTGATTACATTTATTCGTGTCAAACCCTCTTCACTTGTGTATACATATATAGTGGTTGGTTCAACCATGATAAAGGGTGTAGTGGAATATGTTCGAGATAATTTCTAAGGTTTCCTATATCACTCATTCAGATAACTGTCACTATATAACTCCCAACGGTACATAAATATATACATATATATATATATATATATATATATATATATAGGGAAGCGAATGAATGAGAGAGGGATTTAATCTAGTAACATTTAATCTAGAAAGAGGAATACGTGTATAAGCCATAGCTCGTGATCACGCACGCTCACTCAGATATGATTATAATAGCAATACGGCGATACAGACAAATAGCAATTTTTGAGCGACACTGTTTTTTAGGTAAGTTAATTGAAGGGATTGATGAAACTAACTGTATACAGACTCAAGTATGAGTGAGGTGCCATAAGAGCATAGTAAAACGTCATCAATATCATTCGTTAATCCTATTAATTTTTATACCTACTGATATTGCAATGAACAAGAACACGGGTGGGGACAGACGGATGTATTTAACGCAACCGTTACAGATAATCTCAACAAAATCCGAATACCATATAATAAATCGTCGATTTGCAAAATATTCATGCATCAAATCAAACTGGACTGTTTCTGTTGCAAACACCAATCCATTGTCTCCCATTCCATTGTTTATAGGTTTTCTTACAAATTCCATTATGTTCTCACTCTACCTTTCTTGATCTTCGCCATCTTCTGCTGCCAGACATTACGTTCTTTTAACGCACGTTATATACTACTTATATCAATATAAGTAGCTCACACCGCAATATAACTACCATGTGCTGGAAAAACTGTCAACGAAACGCGCAATTATTTTAATAAGGTTGTATCCTGGGTAAATGCTTGTGCATTTTATGTCCCAGTAGTTGTTTTAGGAGTTGAACAAACTGTATACTAAGTCTTCAATACTAACGATCAGCTTTACAACCATGCCAATTGTCTTTTGAAAATGTTCAGTCTTGAGATAGTTCACTTTCTAGAAAGAATACTGATAACCGTAAACAATATTTGCACTCAGAAACGGCCATTTACTTACGAAAGACCTTACCATGATTTAACCATTAACACTGGGATTACCAAATATTTTAGTTAGGTTCGAAATTTGAAATCAATAGATTCTAGTCTTCAAAAGACCACAATAATGTCTTTATAACTAACATTAGTGGACACAGAGAGATAGAGAATTTATCTCGCTACTGTAAGAAACGTTTATTGTTTCGGACACGTAATCAACAATATGTTTCTTGTATTTCTAAAATAACTATTATCTTACAGTTAGCTGCTGAACTTTGAAGCGACTTAATGCGTCATATTCTTATCGCTATCGGACAGAACATTATTCCTGAGTTGGTGGGAAAGATTATCCATTTCGACGTATAAACAATTCATATTCTTAGCGTTTGTAGTGGTAAATAAATCCCTAAAACTAATATCTCTGAAAGTCTTCAACATTTGATGGTGACCGCATTGGTTTTAATGGACTAACGTAGCTGAAGGCGCTCAATCACGCATCCACACCAGATCACGAGTGTGTAAGCCGTGCTTCACATCTTCTGCAGCCGCTAGAAAGCTCAGATTAATCATTTCTCGACATATCGATTTTCTATCTAATATATCTTCGAACCTCATCGCTTCTGACTTTTAATTCCACTAGGTTGGCACGTCTCGATTATAAAAGTTGTTACTGGTTAAGGTTTTGTCAAACTCCAAACACTTGTGTGGTCTTTACATTTTAATAATCTGATGTCCCTAAGTTGATCATTTAATTGTTTTTATTATAAATATCTGCATCCGCCGGCGAAAGTACTGTTCAAGTATACCATCTTTACTTTTAGCCTACACTCAATTTATTAGCATCACATCCATCCAATCTCTATGAGCTTTTATACGTTCATGTACTAAACTTATCGCCCATTATCGATTTTCGCTATCCTTGACGTACGTCACTAAGTCATCTTAAAGTGCCCGTATATTGAGATTCATGGTGATTTGGATTTTTTGAGATACTTTTAAAGTCCTTAACTACTAATTATCGGTTGTACCGTTTTTAAAATCGTTAAAAGTCATGGATTTCCACTTTTCTGACTCAATTACGTGGGTTTATTTGTGGGAATAGGATGTTCCACCACACCCATCACATTCACGGAAAACATATGTTTTAATGTATTTGACGTCCTACTGTTATTGAGTTCTAGATGCACTTATCTGACTGTTTTTTCTTTATTTTTGATCAATGCTTAATGTCGTTAGATTTTTTTCAGGAACAATTTTAACTTAATTCTACCTCCTTAATTAAAAGCTGGTTTGCGTTTCTTCTTTTTCTTTTTTAATCCCCACTTTCTCACTTATTCATTTAGTGGACGAAGCACCGAAAAACTAGATGCCAACTTATATATAAGTGAACATTATAAAATCGTGAACTTCAGATACGTCTAGGAAGGGAATGGCTGGATTATGTTTTCACACTTGTTTCTTGGTCTAAACACTATGGAAACAGTACAAACGTGTATTACCATTCCAACATTTTAATGTCTCAAAGACTGTCTGGCAGCAAAAATGAACGGCATGCAGTAAAAATAAAGACCGTTAAAGTCTAGGTCTATCTACTTCGTGTCCTAAACAATGTTGTCCTTATCATTGGTTCGACCTTAACGCTGAAAGCTTCACAAACAACATCGTATATATCCGTGATTTAATAAAGTTTTTAGTCCAACTGCCGTCTATGACACAATCCTGTGAAAACAAATACAAGGGTTATTAAGAAAGTTTTCTATATGTGGACCCCCTAGGGATAAAAAAACTGAAGTGAGATCAGCAGTGCATTTAGTGAACGAAGTGTGTGGAAAATTTTTGATCAGTGTCGAGGGATCCAAAATCAATAGATTCGTGAGGAAATGTCGAAGGGTGTATTTAGCGACATTACTACAGATCCAGTTTATGGGTAACTATAGACGTTGATAGGTGGTAATTTTGGTATAAGAACGTCCAAAACCGTACAAATGAGCCAGTACACGTGTTTTTAAAAATGGACAAATATAGGCACAACATTGCAACGGTAAATGAGCCCTCAAAAATTGTTCTGTAAGTTTTCAAAATTGATACTGACCTCATTAATTTCACTGGACACACCCTTGCTGAAGGCGCTTAGTCAACCAGCCGCAACAGATCACCGTTAAGTATGCCGTCCTGCGCATCCCTCGCATCAACTAGTCACCTTAGACCATATTTCTTCAACAGATTGACTACCTACCATAAATGCCTTCGAGCTTCTTCATTCCTAACTTCTGGCTAGGCTGAGTTTACAATCCACGGTTATAAAGTTATAAAAAACTGCTGAGCCTTCAATCCCTGAATATTCATGACATCTTTAGTGTCTAGCTCTATGTTAAGCCCACTTAGGTTTTTCTAGTTTCCTGGCAGATTATTCTGTTCGTTCTTCTCAAAACACATTTTGATCTTGTGACTTGTTGGCTTATTAACCTTGATTATTTTTGTGTAAGCGTATGTGGGTACATTTCTTATCTGACTCATCACATATACGAAACTTATTTTGTTCTGACTATAGATATCGACTAACTCATGAATAAATTGAGTTGGTTTACATCTCGACCAACGGTTGTATGAAAAACACGTATTCGAAATTCATTATCATATTTGACTTATTTAATTCCTTTATTCACTAACGCGATATTATTTGATAAATATATACGAGGGTGGCCAGGATGTATATTTCAATAGTAATCATTCAATAACAATCATTCATACGATCTAACTGGAGTCATATATTCCAGGGCCACTAAACATTTTTAAATAAGCATGCCGAAACATTTCTTTTTACAGCAGTTGCAGACGCTGATTATAACAGCCCTTGATAAATACAAATTTTTGGGCAACAAGGATTATATTTGCAAAAATATTCACCAGTTGCTTGAAACAGTAAAGAAGTATGCTCCCACCATTCAAGAAATACTATTCGATGCAAACAAAAACGACGGTCTGTCAGTCTGCTCCAAGAGTTAACAAACAGCTACGGAACAACAATTGCGTATTTAACCCAAGAACTATACCACTCACTCCCGACTACCGATAATAAATGTCCGTGGAAAAGAGAAAACACAGTACGACCCCAGAGCTGCAGAACAAAATGAATCAGTATACACAGAAACAACTTATGAGCAGTAGTCCAATATTAAAAGCGTAAATCGGGAATATTAAGTAAAGCAAAACTGAGTCTGTTAGCGAACTCCGCTTTGACGCA